TCTTCAAAACTAATTTTAATAGAGCAACAAGTAGTATTCATTTATTCACTATTCATTTATATCAATTTATAAATTATTTCCAAAAGGAGGCTTAATATATATCCCTACCTAATTACCACTCTCCATTTGCCCTTTCTCTAGTGGTGGATCTAGCCTTGAGTTTGGACACGGGTTGCAATACAGATGTACATGAATTTATATAAATAAATAAATAAAGTTAAGAACAAAGTGGACATTTGCAGGGGTAAATATGGACCATAGTACAATCGAGCTCATGCCTGTATCTACCCTTGCCTTTTTCCATACCTAAATAAATATTTCTTGTTCATCCTCTATTCACGCCTTTTGAATTTCCTCAATGCATTTTTCTTCCCATTTGTGTCCTTGTATTATTTAATTATATATTACAACAATTCTACTATTATTTCCCAACTTTCATGATCACTTTTGTAGTCCAATCCTTTATTAAAGTGTTTTTGCATTTGTATTTCCGTACAACTTCATGCATGACTGTAATTATTTTTGTCTAAAAACTATATGACTTGAGTATTGGGCAACACCAATAACTCAATAAAGTCTTTTTTATTGTCCCAAATTATGGTTCCCGATTAATATGAATCAAATGCAATTAGCCCTTGCTTGTGTCCAATTGTTCACATAAAAACAAGTTTTATAATAGCAATTTTTGAAAAAACATTATAGAGTAAGGAAAATGTTGCAGAAACTTTTCGAAAAATATTTCTTTGTTCGGGCTCAAAAAAACCATTAAACGAACATCGCCCGACTCAAGCTCGACCCACACCTTTCCTTCACCTTGGTTGCCCCAAGTTTCACCTCCACAAAGGAGACTCTAATGGTGGTGTATTTGCAATATCACAAAGGGAGAGAAGAAGAAGGAAGACACCAAAAAACTCGTCAAGCATAGCTCTCAATTGCTCTCACCACTATGGCTGCCTTTCTTTTCTCTCTATTGCATTCTCATATGCACACATACACACGAGAAAAAAAGGCTAGGAAGGTACAATCTTAGGTCAATGCTAGTTAGGTTAAGACTCACTTAAATGGGCCAACTTAATAACAAGGTTAATGGGCCAACACACACATTACCTCCAACCAATTAAATTCAACTCAAATATAGGCCCTCCAAAAGTGTCGGTCGTTTCAGGGTCTAGCCAAGTCTATGGCATTGATAAATTATATGACATCTATTTTAAATCATCGTTTGACATTTATTAGGTATCAAAACTCAACAAATTTCTACCTTGATACCCAATCAATCTGCAAGCAAATAAAATACAGATCTTGCATAATCAAGGTAACCATAAAATTGGAGTCACAGACCTTACCTCATGTCTGAACCTGAAACACATTATATATGCTCCATGTACTCACCGGGGCTAAGGTCAAGAGACCCGAGTAGAAGAAAGTAATCATAATAATCAATCAAGAGCAAATAAACATCTGATGAAGATATAACATATGATAACACACATAAATCTTTTCCAAACATGTTCACACACAATAATAGATTAACGTCAAGTTAATCAATCAAACGGCTAACACATCAAACAAATACATAACAGATCCAACAAAAAGATTTCACCACACTTATTCCATTCCATGTTGCTCGCACCTCGAGAACATATATCTCTTTTTATCGCTTACCATGCTCACTAGACTAATCGCTAAATTCATGTCTAATTGGTAAATCACAATATATCTTGAGTCTACAGGATAATCATCCATCACCAACTCACTTCTCCAAATCAAAGTGGATAATGGATCTCCACATAACAGAAGTGATAAAAGTGTCTCTCTCACACTCTACCTGATCAAGATCTTCAAGGATAAAGGATTTCAAAATTTAATCACCTCTCTACTCGTGATCCAAATGTCACTCTCAACATCCCCATGCATATCACCAATGCACCTTCAAGTATACTCCACATTACCAATATACATGTCCACACTTACTGCTAGTGAATCTCAAATCCCACTATAGAAAAATTAACACATTTGGCGATCACAAAGGTTAGAGAGCATTTAAATCGACCCATGCATCTCAAGGTTACTCCAACACCAAAGCTCAAGAAATCCACAAAGGAAAGGATGAAGATGGCACTCACAAAGAGAATAGAAGAGTTAGTTACTTCACTACACTTACAAAAGAGCCTCACCAGGAGGAAGAAGATAACTCACACATGACTACCTTACATAATCTCACAAACCACACAGGCTCACAAAGATAAAGGAGAAAACGGTGGCACCCCTTTCTTCTCATGACCACACTCTCTCACACCACTCATAGAGCAAAGGGTAATAGATCTCAACCCACTATGCATTCAAACACATTACACAAAGTAATTAGATCATTTTAATTCATGTAGTTACATACACAAATAAATTGAAAGTATAATATAATAACGCAACAAAATCAAGCAATCATACATGTAGAAAAGATTTCACACAAATGTACATACAGCAACCTGGTTTATTCTCAATAGACCTTACTTTGGTCATAACTAGACCCAATGGCAACATTCGTCTCATCTCTCCTTATCTTTCCTTTTATTACCATTCGTAAGATGGTATCTTCCAACATGTCCAAAAATACTGCAGTTAAAAATACCCCTCACATTTCGCCCTTGCCTTAAACCTATATTTGTGATCAAAAGTTTTGTAAAAAATTTTTTCGTTTTGCCAAAATTAAATAATCATATTTTTTATTAGAAAAACATAACTCAAAATGTGTTGTCATTTTACCAAAAAAATGTACGAAACACAAAATGCAACAAACCATGAACACCAGCAAAGTACCAACAAAATTCACACTGAATATCAAATCAACTTTCCTAAGATCATGTGCAATTCTAATAATGAAAAAATTAAATGGCAACTAATTCACAAAGAATTTAAGGCAAATAATTAACAAGTTGTTCTTAGGTCTAACAACAGGCAATGATTACCCCTTCATGGCAACATCAATCATAATGTTACCCCACACGATGACTTTTAATGCAAAAAGTAAATGATTACTCTACAAGTAACCATAACTGCAATAATAAAAGGAAAGAACACGATACTGAGCGGACCATATCTGTGGGTTCATAAAGTATGAGACATGCGAATTTACCATTTTAAGGCTACCACTTTTCGCTCCAAAGCTTCCGTCAACTGAGGCAACACAAAACAACACCCAATACCAGAACGTCGAAGGATAAAATCATCCAAATTTCACCATATCGCTCAAAATTGAAATTCGACAACACCACAGGGTTCGTCAAGTCACCAAAAACCTCATGTATTCTAACCATCTCCGAACTCTGATAGACATATCCCCAAGTGCCCAAAATGACGCTAATCGTGGGCTTCATGCATCGGCGCTAGGTGCTACCACCAACCACCATGCATCGAACCACCAACTTATGCGTCCACTGTTGAGCTGCTTGTGGTGTTGGTTTCTCTAACCGATCTGTGTTTTGGCCCGAAAACATCAAAATATATCTGGTAGTTTCAAAGAAAAACATTTCAATTTCGTCTAATTTTCTGGCTGCTTTTCCAGCTTCGTTTCAGACCATTTCCAGTCGATTTTTCTCGAGTTTTTCACTAATTTCTCAACAACTCGAGTTTTGATATCATTTGTCTCTAAAACTCCTCGATAAATCTATGTCCGAGCTCAAAAAAACCATCAAATGAACACCTCCCAACTCAAGCTTGACCCACACCTTTCCTTTACCTTGGTTTCCCCAAGTTTCACCCTACAAAAGAGACTCTAATGGTGGTGGTATTTGCAATGTCACAAAGGAAGAGGAGAAGAAGGAAGACACCCAGCATCTCACTAAGTAAAGCTCTCAATTGCTCTTACCACTCCGGTTGCCTTTCTTTTTTCTCCATTGCATTCTCATACACACGCGCACATGAGAAAAACGACTAGTAAGGGTACATATATTGCCACAATCTTAGGTCAATACTAGTTGGGTCAAGATTCACTTAAATGTGCCAACTTAATAACAAGGTTAATGGGCTAACCCACACACACACACACATTACCTCCAACCAATTACATCAACTCAAACTTGGGCACTCTAAGAGTGTTGGTCATTTTTGAGTCGAGCCAATTCTATGGTGTTGATAAATTATCTGACATTTGTTTTAAATCATCACTCGATATATAATGGGTATCAAAACACAACAAAAAAAGTTCAAAAAAAAAAAAAATTGTTGTTTCTATTCTTCATATTTGCCAAACATAAATTTTAATATTATAATTATAAATATTTTTTCTCATAATATACAACGTGCAATGCACTAATTGGTAAAAATGAAGGCCTGAGGAGGGCAATGCAGAAGCTTCGTGCTTCAAACTTTATGCTGACTGTCATTGAGCTATAAAAAATATTGATACCAAAATTAAAAATTAAAAACTAGCCTACCATCTTCCATTCATTATATTACAGAGCACTGCATATCAATCATGGCTTAAGCATTTAACACAAGGTTGAAATGATGAAGCCCGCTACCATTTCAAAGAACAGCGAATGTCAAGCCACGAGATTATGTCACTGAGAACCATCAAAATTCTATCATCAGTTCCCCTTCCAAAAAATTGATTTTTATAGTAGTGATTTTTTTTGAAGAAAAAATTGTTATAGAGCAAGGAAAATTTTTAGTTTTACGTGTTAAATTATTTGAATGGGAGAATGTGCGGTTAAATATAATAAAAAAAAAAAGAGAGAGAGAGAGATAAGTTTTTGGATAATGAACTCAAATAGATCCTTTGAATGAAGTCAAATTAAACAAACTTTTTGCAAAAGTAAGAACTTATTAAGAGAAAAGAAAATTGTTGTTTCTATTCTTCATTTTTGCCAGACATACATTTTAATATTATGTTATAAATATACAACGGCAATTCACTAATTAGTAAGAATGAAGGGTTTCAGGAGGAGGGCACTAGAAACAGAGAATTCAACACCTGTACAGTGCAATTTCTGCCCATATTCAGTCGAAAACAAATGAATTTTTGCCAAATATTGTTCTGTAAAAATTTTGTCAAACACTATCTGTACTTGTAGCATAATTGAAATGGAAAAACTTCGTATTTCAAACTTTATGCTGACTGTCATATACCATGAATAAAAATTAAAAACTGGTCTACCATCTTCCCTTCATTATATTATCGAGCAATGCATATCAATCATGGCTTAAGCACGTAACACGGGTAAAATACTATTTCAAAGAACAGCGAACGTCAAGCCACGTGATTATGTCACCGAGAACCGTCAAAATTCTATCATCAGGCTCCCCTTCCAAAAGGCTGTGATAACTTCCTTCGTAAAGTTTAAGCGTTTTGTCCTCACTAGAAGCATTGTCGTAAAGAAACTGGCTCACTCGAGGATCTGTCACTCTATCAGCAGCTCCATGAAGAATCAGCATTGGAGATGCAACCTGCAATATCTCTAAAAATTGTTAATGATACTGGGGTCGAATGTGTCATAATGCCAATTATAATTATCATCTAAAGACGGTAAATACTGACCTCCTGCACATGTGATTCAATATATTTTGTAGCATTTAAGAGTTCCGCGGCTGTCTTCAGTCGTGTTTGATCCGAGTAACAGATTACATTGTATGGAGTCTACAAAAAAACCAATAGAACTTTTAGCAGAAAATTTTACACTGATCTCTATTCTCCAGGGTAAAAAGTTTACTGATTTTATGCCTAAGGTAAAACTACAGTTATTCGAAATTTCTCCGGAAAGAGACTTAAGTTGTAACGAAGCAGCATTTACACATCTAACTCTTTATTTCAAAGAAACCATAGAGAAATACTGTGCATAACTGACATGACTCCCCATGTAATTCTAGCAGACCCGAGATGTGGTGCGCAGAGGGTGGATCTGAGCTAGGTGCTAGTCTTATAGTTAACCTTGACTGTGGATCTGGCACCTAGCTAACATCTACCATTGGTGCACACAACTTTTCAGGTTGACTAGAGTTGCATGGGCACGTTGTGTAGACAACCCTGTACTGAAATTTCATCTGGTGTAGTATCCAAAGCTGTTTACCTAGAAGAAAACACGAAAAATCCCCTATCTCAATGCTCTTTTTAAGTATATATTACTCAAAAGTATATAGCCATGGTCTAGTTGAGCCTTCCCAAAAACATGAATTCCTAAAATTTGCAACAGTGTTTATGTTCCCCTTTCTTCTGTTTAATTGTGATTTACATTTTGTGACAAGAAATTCACATAAATTTCTGACACAAATAACATTACATCCCAGTTAATAATATGAACCCTGCATCTCAAAAAACATGTTAAAACATCTGCATCTTCATGCTATGGATCAATTTTCGGAAATACGAGTGCATATATGTGCACATGGAAACCAGACGACTCAGAAGCACGAGTTCTTCATGAAATCACCAGAAACTGTAAGGTTGCAACCACATCAGAAGATTGAACAAACAGTTATATGGTAACAAATAAGCCTATCAGTTACATTCATACTCTACCTACTGTAGAGGCATATTATTACTGTTTGGAATATCTAAAGAAGTTGAAAAAAATCTCAGCCAAAATCCACAATTAATTTTACCACACATTTCATAGGACCCAGTACTTTTCAACCACACTTTTCATTAATGTTGGTAAATCATCTAAAAAAACTGACAAAATCAGAGGGGTCTAAATTTCTGAGCCATATCACTTAAACTCAATAATATTAAGAAACACTCTCCGTTTGGCATAAATCTTATAGAACACACAAGCTGCACAGGCATATTAAGAGCAAATCCAGACCACTGTATTTGAGTATCCCTATGCTCTTATAGATAACTTGAGAATCTTTTATTATTGGATGCCGCAATTCCTTGTATAAGATCAGTTAAATAAACTGCTATGTTGAGAGAAGATATTGAACGAACCATTTCCCTTTTCTTCAATTCTCTGAATGCCAATTCTGCGAAATCTTTCTGGGGTACGAGCTTTGCTTGTGGGATAATCTTGGATAAGAAAATTAAAACCTCCTGAAGTGGAACAGGTGGTGCCATGTCCTCTGCAATCTTGGAAACCATTCGAAGTCAGCAATTTCATACAGAAAAATGGAAAACTTAGTGTTACAATGAATGGCATGAATCCTGAAATTTTAATATCGTAAAGTGTAGCGGAGAAAAGAAGTCAATTTTGCAGCATTTGCTGAAAAGTACAGAATACTGATTGCCAACAACTTACTCAATTGGAGTTCATGATGATTCTTAAAACATGGTTTAGAAATAATTTAAAATAAGTTGCAGAAAATAACTTCACACTTGAGATGAAATAGAAAGGCTAGGACCAAACATCGACCTTCATATTTTGAATCCATGAAATGGCAATCAGTATTCTGTATCTATCAGAAACAAACCATCCACAAGTATAACAGAGTAAAGATGGTAATATTACTTTACACATTGGGGCTACAAGCACTATGCCGTCCCATTGACGTGGTTCCTTAAGAAGCGCCTTAAGTGCAATTGCTCCCCCCATTGACTGGCCGAAAATGAAGTAAGGAAGCCCTCGTATCTCCGGCCTTCCTGCACATCGTAAGAGAAAATTTGATGTGCTTGGACATTTAACCAAAAAAGTGAGGGCAGAGTACCAGAATAGATTTCATAGCCTTCATTTATCGACAGAAACTGATCAACCTAAGAGATGGAAAATAAACTTGGAATGGATTAGATTTCTATCTTGTGCTCATTATAACACATAGTTCAATGTATACCTTTAATTATAGTATATTGTTCGATGACATTATCAACAATGCCATCAAAGGACGGAACATAGCCATGCAATCCTTCTGAGAGACCAAAACCCGGATGATCAATTGCATAGATACCATAACCAGAAGCAGCAATGTGCTTGGCTATACCTGAAATGCACCAACTTTGAAAACATTAGGTATCTTATCATCCTCCTCAAGAGTATCCAACAGTAAGAAAAACGAGTTAAATGACAATTTGAGGTGTATTATTAATTAACATAAAACTAAAAGGAGATGCAGGGAAGGAAAGCTACAAACCTTCAAAGAAAAAAGTGCAAGTATCACCATATCCATGACAAAAACACAAAGCGCCTTTTATTCGTACACCAGGCTTTGGCAACCAACTTTTACAGAAAATTTCTTGTCCCTTTGAATTTTTTTCGTACCACTAGAAAAATTAAATACTCCATAGTTAATATTGGAAAAATAAATTTTTATCTTCATTTCAAAATACAGTCATCTTCCTGAGAAAATTAATGGATAATATAATACATCATATAATAAAAAATTACCAGCTTGAACTTAATTGATATTTCAAACAAAATAATCAAGAAATTGGATTAAATTAAAATAACAAGAAGATTAAAGTATAGCTCACCTCGTCTGTTCTGATCCCAGCTGGAGCCATCTAGTTACCACATACACAAAAATTTTTAACTACTCAAAAACTGTCAAGATTAAAACCAGCTACCAAAACATGGTTCATAAGCAAAACAAACCTTAAATAAAATGTGATCGAGCTGCTGCTGAATATTAGTGAAAGCCGATCGCACTCGTCTCCGGGCAGGAGCATGGTCCAAGTTCTGTGAGGCAATTAAGTTCAACTCATCACTCACGCCTTCAATTTTTGGCTTCTTCTGGACCATAACGATCACTGATTGTCTTGGATATTTGGGTTTTGGGTCCAGATTTCGCTGGAGAATAAAGGGTCTGTAATGATTTCGGCCAGAGGTGAGAAATCCCGGTGGCAAAAATGGTCGGAAAGTTGAGTGAAGGACAAGATCCATTGGGAACTCAGAAATCTTGGTTGGAAGGTGAAAAGACCAACGGGTACATATCGAGTTTCTGGGCTCAAAGAACCATGTTAAAAACGTGTACGATCAGGTCTACAAAAGCATGAAGCACTTTCTTCTTTAAAAAAGTCATCCTGAACTGTATTATACAAATAGGGGTCCAGAGAAAAAGGTTTTCTTATATACAAATAGGTGTTCAGAGAAAAAGGTTTTCTTATGAAAATTTATGCTAGAAAAAATCTTTGTCTCACTTGTATTTATTTGGATTTTAATTCAAAAGTTTTAAAATGATATTGTATAAGTCCCAGTTTGAGATCCATTTTAATTTGTTTTTAGGGAAAATATACTTCAGAAGAATAATGTTGCTAGCTTTCAACAGGGTTCTGGGGGCTCAATTCTTTCAAATCGTCCAATAAATTTTTGACACGTTCCTTTGTTTTTATATATTGTCATTGATTCTATTTGTATAACAAGATTGATTTTAGAAAAATGATTTTTTTTTTTTTTTAAGAATGTGTGGTTAAAAAAATAAAATTAAATTTATGTGTAATATCATTTGATTGGAGAATGAATAATTAAAAAGAAGAAAGAGACAAATGTATTAAAATTATAATGAAGTCCAAACAGGGACTAAAGATTATTGCCCTCTTAACTATTAAATATACAGACAAAATGATGACAAAGAAAAAATCATAATGTATGGATCCAGTTTGAAGTAGTCCCGCATTGGTTATGATTTATTAGGGAAGTTTTTTTTATGAAGAGTTATATTTAAACGCAGTTAGAAATGAGAATGTGAATAAAATTTAGTTTTCTAACAAGTTTTTACACTTAAAACACTTGTAAAACAATCAAAATTAATATTGTCTGGTATATAAATTGAGAGTGGGACTCAGAGCTTCCGATCATAGTAAGATAATACATTGTGGGTGCGATAAACGCACAACTTATATTTTAAATGAAAATTAATTGATTATCAAACAAAGATTCTCTTGTAAACCAAGTTCTTCATAAATTCAACTTTGTTTCTTAATCTTCTACGTGTTAAAGTTACAAATTTTGACTTCAATAGGCTCGCTCGGTCTGTAAGAATTATGTCCAGTCTTCAACCAAAAACACCATATGAACAAAATCTCGACCATACAATGACGGCCCAACTAAGGCCACAATGGCCAAATCAAATTGTTGTCCTAATGTAGCAACAAAATGGTGGAGATGCATAACAACATGAAAACCTCCAGTAGATTTCTTTTAAAGTCAGGTACGCATGTTCTACCGCACTGAAATAAGAGCGCTTTCAATGGCCACCCACTCTGAAAAAAGAAATTGATGGCACAACTCGCAATGATTTAAGTGAATAACAAGATCCACCAAGGAAAAATGAAGTACTTGCATGGTTAACTAGCATGTTTGACTACCTTAGAAATGACCCTAGTCAAAATGTAGGGATCAATCAATAGCAGTTACAAAGGTGGAAATTGTAGGAATTAGCACCATTGGGAATTCTTGAGGAGACGAAGAGTCTTCTGGATTAAGCCATGTTGATGCCAAAGTTAGAAGGCTGAGAACATCAGCCGATTGATAGATGAATCATTATTGGCAATAATGATAATGAAGGATCACCACTTTCCGAGGATATCTGAATGGCCCCTCTTTGGAAGAAGTTTAAAGTGACTGCCATCGGAAGTCATGGATGGATGTGAACACGACTTCAAATGCAAATAAACCCATGTTTCATGGCCATTAAAATGAGATTTTTTATTATTATTTATTTATTTATTTATTTATTTTTGGAGAAAAATGAGCTTTTTTGTGGAATTGCGATTTTTTGAAAATTTTGTAGTTAAAATGTTGGAAAAAATTTTGAATTTGTACACATAATATTTTATTATGAGAATTTATGGTTGAAAATGGATTTGATAAAAAAATAATTTTATTTTCATAATTGCCAAACATGGGCTAAATTTCAAGCTTTTCGATTTCATTGATTGGATCAACGAAAATATGGTTTGGGAACTATCTGAAGCAGCCATAGACTCATATTATCTCTTCTTTTCTTTCCTCCTTTCACAACACGTTATCAGCATGATAACTTAATTTTTTTAATAACTCAAGGTTTAGTACTGTCGAGGAAGGGAAAAAAATTGGAAGATAGCATCATAAGCACATGCACGCTAATCTATAGCCGCATTGTCTTTTATAAGCATGTGTAATGTGTTCCGAAATCAATTCTGCAATCTACAACTACGCACTGCAAGTTGCAATCTGTAGCCATGCACCTTAAGCCCAGGAGTATGGTTATTAATGATTACTGTTTACTAATGAATGTATTTATTCATCTACATGACCGCATATATATGTGTGTGTGTGATGTTTTTTATTTATCGCTTAATTAATTATCTCGTTCTTGTTCTTTTTAATACGAGTATGGTTATGAATTTAGTATTCGTATATCTATTTATTATAAAATATTGTTGCTCTTGAAATAGCAAATCATTTTTAATGTTCTAGTTAGATTTTACTAGCACTTGAAGTGCATAATTAAATAAAATCTAAAGTAAATTATGTTTTTACTCTTGAAAAGTAAATTCTTATATAATTTATTATTCTAAATAATAATATGGCATTACTCCTAAAAGGCATAATATTATTTAATAATATTGATTTATTGCTCTTGACGAAGCAATAATAAAATATAACGTTCTCTTGAAATAATACATATCTCGGAATAATATATATTACATTGTGTTTTTGAAGAAACACAAATTAAATAATTCAATACTATGTTGTAATTTTTAAAGGAAACTAATTTTCTATATTATTAATATTCAAAAAAAAATTAATCTATCATTTTTGAAGAGCATTGATTATAATTTTCAATATTCTAGAGTAATATTGACATATTTTTCTTGAAAAAGCAATAATTAAAGATAATGAGCTCTTACAGTAGCACATTTTCGAAAAAAATACATCATTTTGAACTTATATTCATCCTTTAAGAAAAATATATAACTAATGTTATGATAACATTGATTAATTTGACTATTTGACTTAATCGTAATCTTCGAAATTAAATTATTGAATTATATCATCTACTGAACTAGAAGTTCAATTTGACTTTATTGTTTGGAATGACCAATTGGATCATCACTGAATTAATAATGATACAAAATTGAAAATTCAAATGGATATTCACTGAAAAACCAGAAGATTCTTCAATTCAATCATATGTGATGTTTGTTCTCTTTCAAGAAAATTTTTCATCAATAATCACTAGTTAAAATAGAGACTGAATATCCTATATTTTTTAATATTAATTAGAGTGATAAATGGGGCCCCTTCATCCTCCACATTGATAATCTAAATACTATTTATATCTAATAAATTTGATATATATACTAGATTGTATGGTGTTTGCAGTTTGAAATTTGCGGAATTACTGTTCAAGTTTTAAATTAGGAGCATACTTTTCATATTATATAATCAAGACTATGTCTTATTAATACTAATGAGCATAAATATCAATATTTTAATAAGTGTTAGTTGGGATGTTGATAAATTATTTTAGCACTATTGTTTGTTAAACACATCCAATTAATTTAATTGAAAACAAATTACTTTTCATTTTTGTGTTGGGAATTCTATTATGCGTCATGCTAAAATCATAATTCTCACTATTATAATTGGCTTATGATCAAAGCATAATGTTTCTATCTAATTATTTTGATAGTGCAGCATATGTAAAATTGATCTACCACAATGCACTGAGATAGAAAATAAAGAATGTTGAGAATAAATGCATAGTTTGAACCCTTATCCCAAGTTTGTGATATTTTATAATGCTGGAAAAAAATGATTATCAATTTGATTGAACAATTTTCTCAGCATTGGGTAATTAAGAAATTGAAAATAATGTACAAATGCATAATTATCTAAATTCTCGAAAAGATCATTCCAACCATAAGTTTGAAAGATTATTTATTTAGATACATTTATTGACTGAAGAGATCAAAAATATCACATGCACCAATTTTAAATACTCTAATATGAATTAATGTCCGTGGAGAACAATTTGATAGCACTATATTTAATATATATATGATACGCTTGAAACATGATGTTGTATTCGATTCTAATATAAAAAAAATAAAATCAAATGAAAATGGAGTAATTCACGAAGAAGATCCCTCTAAGGAGACATATAATCTTAATCAGTATTTAGATATAACAAATTATAAAACCTCAAAAAAGATTCAGGTACTTGAAATAATGAAAATTCAAATATCTGAATAGATTATGTCATTATGAGAAAAAGATATAGAATTGAAAAAAAAAATTATTGACAATAAATTTGTACATGATGTACTGCATCATATAGCTATGAATCAAAATAAACACTTCAAAATATACGATCGAAGTAATGATTGGCCAAATAAAAAGGACACAATCCTAAATTAAATTTACTAAAAAAAACTTGAAATTTCTGAATCTACAAGCTGAATACCTAAAGGTGTACACTTTTGCGAAATATAAATGAAAAAGGTAAAGTCATGATATGAAATGTACGGCTCTTCATATAATAAATGTCTCGAAAACTTGTATAAATAAATAAGTTATTATGTGGTAGATATAATCACATGTCTCTACTTTATTAGAGTGACACTACATGAAATTTGATATGTATATAATAAATGTGATTATATTAAACTTTTCTTACATATAAATTTAATACTATTCTTGAAGAATTTAATATACTTGAAGCATAATTCAAGTGATATTATCATGGGAGGGAGTAAATACGCATTGTACTCTTTTTCTCTTAACCAAAAATTTGTTCCATTAGATTTTCCTGGCAAGGTTTTTAATAACTTTATTGCGTATTCAGAAGAATAATATACTATTTTTCATTTAATAGGATTTTCCTAATAAGCTTTTAATGAGGCATATTTTTCGTGTAACAAATGTCTATAACATGCAAGGCATTTACCCTCAAAATAATACCGTATGTGCATGAGACTCTCAAAGAGATCAACAAGAGCTATTTCTAAAATCATCATGTCACTATAGTTATCAAAAATTGATAAAATATCTCTTATGAAGATAATGTTATTTGAAAACTATATAAGATAACATGAGGCATACTTTACCACAAATTATAATATTGAAGTTATTGATATACGAGACCTTGATAGCTTGAAACGAGAATTTTCAC